ACGGACGATTCTTTGTACGCGGGTTACTGCTCGAACGTGGATCGACCAGTGTTTTCGATATTGGTGGTCATTTTGAATATCGATCATCTGGTCTACGATTCGTTGAGCACGGTGACCACCGAACGAACCTTGGTTGAATTAACGTCCGCTCACTACACTCTAGGTACTAAGATCGATCGCGAAGTCAACACCGCGACGTCGTTCGTATTCCCAAAGCCCGATACCATTGCGAATTCTCGCACGAGTTTCCTCACGCTTAGAGCGTGCACTGTCGATCTGGCTGACTGTTTTCTATAATTCGCGCTCTGAAGAATAAGCATCGCGCAAATCCGTTAACCGACAGCACATAGCATCGACGATAACGTCATGGTCGAGGATTGGAACTTGTGGTATCAAACGGGCATCGTTTGCTTCTTCGTTCTGCTGGGCGGACTAACCGCTCTGTTGAACTATATTTGGCGATCCGAGCCCGGTGATCGCTTGGCCGCGAACGTGGCACGATACATCGACGCTTGTCATGCGATTCGGTCGCTGCGACGAATATCACTGTCAAACGAGAAATCCGAACGCAACAACGCGATAAACTACGAATCGAACGTGAGCGATAACGAAGATTCGACCGATGACGAGGAACCAGCGCACGATTCATCGCTCGTGATCGTCGATAGGACAACAGACTCGATCGACGCCGAAGACGAAGATCAAACGAATAATCGACCGTTGCTGATCGTACCGAAATCACTGTCCGTTTTGTCATCCGTAAGAAGCGAATCTGAATCCAGTGAAACTGTGAATTCAATGAGATCATTCACGGCTCGAAAAAACAGCGCCATCGATTCAACGAGCTCGAAACTCGCGATCGCGGCGACATCGTATCCGAACGAGTACGAAAAGGTCTTCGTCAACGCGCCTTCGGAACGAGGTATCGTCAGAACGACTACGAGATTGTTCTCGTTGACATACCGTCGTCCGAAGCCGTCGATACGCCGTCGCCCGAAACCGTAGACACGCCGTCGTTCGAAACTGTCGACACGCCGTCGTCAGAAGCCGTCGACACGCCGTCGTCCGAAATCATCGATACGCCGTCGTCAGAAGCCGTCGACACGCCGTCGTTCGAAACGACGTCGCGTCCGAACGACCACTGTAACGTCCTGCGACGTTCTCTCCACCATATCATTTTTTCGCCTCTACATTAAAAGGCCAGCGAGACATATAGGTAGATTCAACCATCAAAAGTAATTGTTACTATTAAAATTTATCGATAAAAGTTCATATCTTTTAAAATAATAATAATTTTAGAAAATCGCGCAGTGCGATTTAAGGCTCCTTCAAAGTATTACAAATTATGTCCTAATAAAATTTCTGTAAGATCAATAGTTTAGAAGTTACGGCTATTTGAATGTCTCGACCAATCAGGAAAAGGCATGTTTTTCTCAGTAACTATAAGGCCTAGAAGAAAAATCTTAATTGCTAACAATAGCATTAAAAGACCTCTATTTAACGACTATATTAACATTTTGAAAAACATTAACAATTAATAAGAAACCAACAATGTTACTTACCAATAGACTTCAGAAAATTCTAAAATTCATACGCAGGGACTATTGGGACACCAGTAATGCGTACCTTCCGTAGAAATTAAGAAAAGTCAATTTAAAATATTTTTAACACCTACGTACATAGAGAACATCTCAGTGAAACATAAGCAAATGTCAAAACCTCAGAATATTAATTACAAAAGGAAATAATGCCAAACGATAACAATTAATTCCTGCCCACAGACAGAGAATCCTTCTGATAGTATATTCTCAAAATTTGGTAATTCTTACTTAAAATTTAATAAACCTCACTTATTTAAGTCGCTTAAATACTCTATTTAGCTTGGAAATCCACCATTTTTGCCTTGGTCACGTTTAAATACTTTATTTAATTTAATTTAAGCCTTCTGTCCACGTTCAAGCTCCTCTTAAATACTGCACCCTTTTAAATTCGTTCGTACAGTATACAACGGCTTGAACTCATCACTAATAATAAAAATTAATTGTTCATCGAATCTTCTATTATCATAAGCTTCTATAAGGTCCAAAAGCCGGTAATTTATAAATAGGAATCGTCTATAACAATTGTTAATTAATTACCGACGCCAATAATAACGAAACCTACCCAAGGGGACTACCTTACCGACATACGTAAGTAGAGAGCCCTATGGTAGAACTCAGCCTTGCCGAGAAACATTAATTTGACAACAGTAATAATAAGAATCCCTGTAATAAGAAATCCTATTTTTCCAGTTAACAATATTATAAGTCTCTAAACTCTAATACCCATTGTTAACAATATGCATTTCTTATAATAATTCTTAATAACCACATTTAAACATTAATAACAAATATCTCTTTTATTATAACACATGCATATTGTCTTTATAAAAATCATAACTACTTAATATAATAACATTCTATTACACTATTCATATAATACTAAATTAGGCGTATATTATAACCTTAAGAACCACACATATATAATATTAACCATTTTTTTATTATAATATTATAATATTATAAGGCATAAATAATTACGCGCACATATAAATTAATAAGTCAGACTGGCGACAGGAAGCCTCAAAAGATAAGAGCACGCAGCCGGGCCACCGAGGGTGCTCTGGAATCCTCGAGTAACCCGAGCCCATATCAGGTAACATAGGACATCCTGTTGACCACGCTCCTTATCACATCCGGCGGCGCGCCGAGATGTCTCGACGCCTCGTCAGCATCACGCCACTCAGTCCCACTCTGAAAAAACCTTGAACGCTCCTACTCTGGATCCCTCTCGTATAATCCCATTACTCCTACCATATAGCCTACCCCAATCTTGTGTTCCATTGTCCGGACCGACCGACGCCCCGGGAGCAGCTCCCACCGCAGAGTCGACATCGGAAGTTCATGCAGTACAGACGTGCCTCTTAGGAGTGCCTCCAAGACATCTTTGTTAATTTGACGCAAAAAGGAGAAGTGTCTCTGAGCGACCATGCCACCACAGACAACGGTCGTCTCGCATAAGAGCCTCTTCCTACGCTCCTTCAGAGCCTTTGCCTTGTGCTATTCAAAATCTGGAAGATTTCTTAGGAAACTTGCCAGAACATCCACGGTGTTTTATAATACTCAAAGTGTGCGGATAAGTCGACTCCCCGCTCGAGTTGTGCCGTGGCTAGAGTGGTCCTATGTTACGTCCCGGTCGGCCGCGGCTGCGATGCTAGGCTGCAGGTGCTCTAGTTCCTCCATCGTACATCAAGTTTTTATTACAAAACAGACTCATAAGCACATTTAAATACGCTCCACGTCCATTACACTCCACACAAAGACACTTTATTCCGGATTCGCATTCTTTACCAAGCTCTTCCAGGGCTCGCATACACAACCCTCGGCTGGTTAAACAGCGTTCGACGACAGAAACTCTAGACATAGAATTGATAGATTTAACACAGGACGACACTTTCAACAACAAGACAGCCACCTACATTTACCAACTGGAGTCCTATTCTCTCACTGAAACCCCTCGCAAATTACCGTACCACCTTCATTACTTCCACCGGGCAGGATAACTGTATATTCTCTCAACACTTCATTGTAACTCATTACCAGCAGCTATATAATGTAAACCACATTTGTATTCATTAGGTATATAATTATAAGTATTGTTCGGAACTAGCCCGAACATATGATAGCTCCGGAGAGCTGGCTGGAAGTACGGGATCGCAGAGCGACGTCCGCCTGCGTCTAGGCTCGCTCGAGTCCGCTCGGTGACCGTCCGGTCGTCCTGATCAAAGGCCGGGGCTTCGTAAGGCGACCACAGACCCTGCTGATCAGGCAACGTCGCGCGCCGACTGGGCCATGCCCAGGGACGGCGGCGAGAACAAGAGAGAAGAAGCACGCGCACGTGCCGACGTAAAGTGACACGCAGTGTAAACGCAATGGACGCAATAAACGCAGTAGTAACGCAGAAGAGAATAACGCAGAAGAACCTAAACGTAGCTATATACAAGCGAAACAACGTTCCGCTTACGCTTACGCAAGTCCCGCAGGACACACGTCCGTGACGTCAACGGTGCGCGGCACCCGAAGCACGCCAAGGACGTGCAACGAAACGACCTCCGTCGTTTCGGATGGCCTGCCCTTCCGGGCGTAATGGCCAATAGCCAGCCACGGTCCCGAGGACGCGTGGAAACGGAGCTCCGAGAGCTCCGGCTCGCAGGACGACCAAGTCGCTCCTGCGAGAAAGCCAAGTTCCCAATGGACACTTGGACGAAGGAGCGCGAACGCTCTAGGACTGCGACCGAGCCGCTCCAAAACCGCCAAGGCCCCCTACGGACACTTGGGCAATAAGGGAGCTCGAAGCTCCGAGGAGACGGTCGAGTCGCTCCTAAGATCACGGCAACGCCGTGACTCCGAGATCACAAACGAGATTCGAACCATTTGCCTCAACCCAGCAGGGTGTATCGGCGCCACCTTCAACTCAGCAGAGTCTATAGAGCAGTGGTTCGAATCTGAACGAAATACCGATCGCCCTAGGAAACGCGTCGGTAATCACCAGTACACGATGCACTAACGCGTAGCACTACTTGCTACCTAAACTGGCCAGGCAGAAGACAAGACAAGGCAAGGACCAGGCATCGCGCGCCTGGTTATATATCCGGGCGGTCGAATCTTGCCCGCGGGCAGCGGAATCGCGAGCCGCGCCGTGTAGCGGCCGCGGTTGGACCTAGTGGGGGTCCCGCGCGCTCGCTCGCGAGAACCCGAGTCCCCCGCCGCCAGCGAGAACGCCCCGGGCACCAGGCCGCCCGCCTTGCAGCGTTGACTCGCACCGACTTTCCGTACGGCATCACGTGCCGTACGGAACATACCGCCCGCCTCCGTCGCGGCGACGGAAGTCAGTGGTGGAACAAATCCCACCAGGAAGGCCGCACTCGCGGCCTTGCGTCCGTGAAGGCCTGTTGAACCCCTTCATGTTGAAGGTTGATTGGGATGAGCCTCCTTCGGATCCACAGGGAGCCTCACCAGCTTGACCAGTGGCCGGGTCAAGGTCGCGTCCGCTGTGCGCACCTGCGCCACGCGGACGTGCCCATCCGGGCCAGGCAGCAAGCCGGTGATGCGGCCGAGAGGCCACCGAGTAGGAGGAAATCGGCTATCCGCCAAGAGCACGAGGTCGCCGATGTCCAACGGACGAGAAGCGATGAGCCACTTGCCCCGGACCTGGAGCTGGGCTAGATATTCTCTAGACCATCGCTCCCAAAAATGCTCCGTCATATGTTGGAGCAGCTGCCAGCGACTCAACCTCGCGACCTGAACGTCCCCGAGGGATCGCTCAGGCGGACACAACAGCGGGCGCCCAATCAGGAAGTGTCCAGGTGTCAGGGCCTCCAAGTCCTGTGGGTCGTCCGTCAACGGACACAATGGCCTGGAGTTGAGACAGGCCTCAATGCGAGCTAGAAGAGTGGCGAACTCCTCAAAGGTCAGTGCCTGCTCTCCTATTACCCGTCGCAGGTGGTATTTGACGGACCGCACTCCCGCCTCCCACAGTCCGCCGAAATGCGGAGCTGAAGGAGGCATGAACTTCCAGGTGGTGCCCTGGTTATTCAAGGAGGCCGCGACCGGTTCCCCCAACGCCATGACCACCTCAAACTGCCCTCGCAGCTCGCGGTCCGCACCCACAAATGTGGTCCCCCTATCGCTGTATACGGTAACCGGCAGGCCCCGCCGGGCCGCGAAACGATGAAAGGCCGCTAAGAAGGTCGGGGCCGAATAGTCACTGACCACCTCCAAGTGGACAGCGCGCGTGCTGAAGCAGACGAAGACAGCAATATATCCCTTGGAGGTGGTACGTCCGCGTCCTCGAGACGGACGCACCGCGACTGGTCCAGCATAATCCACCCCGGTGGCAGAAAACGGTGGATGAGGCAACACCCGATCGCGAGGCAGCGGAGCCATGAACGGGGTGATCGGGGTGCCCTTATGGCGTGTGCAGCGCACACAGCCCCGTATCACCTGGCGCACGAAAGAGCGCCCAGCTGGAATCCAGAATTCGCGCCTCACGGTGAGCAACGTAAGCTGCACTCCCCCGTGCAGCGTGCGTTCGTGCGCATCTCGCACAACAAGAGTCGCGAGCCGAGAGCGTCGCGGTAGCAGGACTGGCTGCCGTGCATCGATCGGTAACGCTGAGAATTGCAGGCGGCCCCCCACCCGCAAGAGGTCCCGCTCGTCCATCATGGGGTTGAGTGGCCGCAATGCCGATCTCACCATTAATGCTCCCCCCCGCTTCAGACGGCCCAACTCCTCCGCGAAGAAGCGGTGCTGCGTAACCCGCAGCAGGCGCAGTCGAGCTTCACTCAGCTCGTCCGCCGTTAAGGGTCCACTGATCCGTGGGACTCGCAGGAATCGTCGTACATAGGCCATCACGCGGATGGCCTTGCGGAAGGAGCATGCTCGGAGGACACCGGACCAGTCCTCCGGGTTCACGGCCACCACGTGAACCATGCGCCGTTCCTCGCTAATGCTTCGGTCGACCGCGACACAAGTTAGACCCGGCCAGCCCGCCGGGTCCTCGACAAGCCAAAAGGGGCCACGCCACCAAAGGGCGTGTTCTCGTAGCCCGCCGGCCAACAAACCCCGGGAGGCGCAATCCGCGGGATTGTCGCCGGACGGGACATGCCGCCACGAGGCCCGCGGAAGGCTCTCGTGAATGTACGAGACGCGATTGGCGACAAAGGTGGTCCATCGAGATGGATGCCCTGTTATCCAATGGAGCGTGACAGAGGAGTCGGTCCAACAAACCAGGGAGGCCTCGGCAGAACCGAGCGCCTCCACAATGGCCTTCATGAGGCGCGAGAGCAGCTGCGCACCGCACAGCTCCAGGCGGGGCAACGATACCCGCTTTAGTGGGGCGACCCTGGTCTTGGACGCCAATAGAGCGACACGGGTGGTCCCATCAGACCGTCGAGCTCGTAAGTAGATGACGGCGGCGTACGCCCGCTCCGAGGCGTCCGAGAAGCCGTGAAGCTGGATCTCCACTTCAGGCGACCATCCGGTCCAGCGAGGAACTCGGATCGCGGAAACCTCCGCGAGCCCGGTGCTAAAGGCGTCCCAACGTCACGAGAGCGGAGAAGGGAGAGCCTCGTCCCAACCGAGCCCGGCCAACCACAAGTCCTGAAGGAGGATCTTCGCCAGTACTACCATAGGCCCCAACCAGCCCAGGGGGTCGTATAATCGCGCAACGACTGACAAGATGCCACGCTTCGAGATGGCTGATTGAGCCCCGGGGTTGACCGAAAAGCAGAATGCATCTTCGACCGGAATCCAACCGACCCCCAGCACAGATGCCCCCACGGCCCCAGGGTCCGGCAGAGGCACCAAAGGCTCGCGGTCCCCCTCCGGGATACCGGACAAGAGTTCCGGATGTGAGGCCGCCCACTTCCTGAGTCGGAACCCGCCCGCCATGAGCAAGCTGCCCAGCTCACGCTGTCGATGGCGTGCCTCCCCAAGGTCATCTGCCCCCGCAAGAATATCGTCGACGTAGGTTTGTCGACAAAGTAAGTCTGCTGCCCGGGGATAACGTTCCCGCTCATCCAGCGCCAGCTGGTGCAGCGTGCGGATGGCCAGATAAGGAGCGCACGCCATGCCATAGGTGACCGTGGTCAACCGGTACACCGATATTGCCTGCGTCTGGCTGTCTCGCCAGAGAATCTGTTGGAGGTGTTGATCCTCCGGAGCCACCCGCACTTGACGAAACATTTGCTCGATGTCTGCAGAGAAGGCCACTCGATGCATGCGCCAGGCAAGTAGAATCTCGCCCAGTTCTCGCTGTAAGCGCGGCCCCACGTGCACCAAGTCGTTCAATGACCGGCCATTGGTGGACGCCTGCGAGACGTTGAACACCACTCTTACCTTAAGCTCGGGGGCTTGTTTAATCACCGGGTGATGTGGAATAAAGTAAGAGGGCCGCGGGGTCTCGACATTGAGCGGCAGGCGGATCATATGCCCCTGTCGTTCATAGTCAACAAGAAAGTCGCGATAGGCCCCGCCCAAGGAAGACCGCCGAAGCAGTCGCCGCTCCAAGCGATGCAACGAGGCAGTGGCAATCCGCCGAGTGTCGCCGAGAGACAGCTCAGTCGGAGGGCTTCTGAAAGGCAACCGCACCTGATAGCGGCCGTCCGCACGACGTCGAAAGGACGCCGCGAAAAACTCTTCACAAGCCCGCTCCTCCTCAGAGAGCGGGGAAGCAACCGGAATCTCCTCCACCTCCCAGAAGCGCCGCAAGAGATCCGCCATGTTGTCCGACGCACACTGCACCACATGACAATGAGGGCCGCCCGCTCCGGCGGCAGACGGGAGAGCCCCGAACAGCACCCACCCCAAGCGGGTACGCTGCGCGACGGGAGCTCCCAGTGGGCCCCGGCGAAGCCCCGTCAACACGATCTCGGCGAATACCTCCGCTCCAAGTATCGCCTCGATGCGCTCGTCATCATCGTGATCATCTGCCAACCGGAGGTTCCTCAAATGCGACCACTTCCCCGTCAGCCAAGCCCTCTGCGGGGGGTGGTACGCCGTAAGCCTCGGTAGAATGAGGGCCTCCACCGTGGTGGAGAACGGGAGGCCAGCAGTTGCCCTGAGCCGCAATGACGTGCTGGCCCGCACCCGCTGAGGGGGCCCCTCTGAGACGCCCGACAGCCCAACATCCACCGATCGACGAGACGCTCGCAGCCGCTGCGCAAGCGCCTCGGACACCAGGCTCACCTCAGAGCCCTGGTCAATGAGCGCTCGAACCACAGCGGATCGGCCATCGGACGCCATCAGACAAACCCTGGCTGTGGCCAGAAGCACTCGCTGCGCAGGCATCCGCGTCGCAGCATGCGCCGTGACCGGCGCCTCCCCCGACGCCGGGGCCGGAGACTGCCGAGCGGAGTGCAGAAGTGAATGGTGCGGCTCTCCGCACTCCCGACATCGACCCTTAGACGGGCAAGCGGCCGCCTGGTGCGACGGATCGAGGCAGTTGAAGCACAACCCGAGAGCGCGCACCCTTGCCCGTCGCGAAGAGACCGGCCGATCTTTAAAGGCCGAACACTCTCTGAGTCCATGCTCAGAACCGCACTCAGCGCAACGGGTCGGCTTGGGCCGATGAAGATGTAGCGATCGTCGACCAGTCCGCTCGGATGCCGATGAGGCACGGGGGCCGTCCCCAATGGACGGAGCCACGGCAACCGCCTCGAGCGCCACCCGACGCTCGTCCAGGAAGACTGCCAGTCGGTCCCAGCTCACTGGCTCGCGCCGGTCCGCGGTGGCCATCTCCCAGGCCCGCCGCGTTGCAGAGTCCAGCTTGGAACGGAGGATATTGACCAATATCACGTCCCAAGCATCCACTGGCTGGTCAAGAAGGCGCAAGGCGGCTCGCAGCTCGCTGGCTCGATCCAACAGCCTCCGAACCTCGGAGACGCTCTCCGGACGCATCGGGCCAATATCCCGGAAAGCGTCGAGATGCTGGTCCACAAGCAAACGACGGTTATCGTACCGTGCACATAGCGCTTCCCACGCTTGCTCAAACGAGCCAGTAGCGACGCCGTAGTGCCGGAGCAGACGTTCAGGCTCTCCCGACACGCTCTGTTTTAAATAATGCATCCGGTGAACTGATGCTAACGACGGGTTATCGACTATTAAGGACTCGAAGAGATCCTTAAAATTGCGCCATTCGTCAAACTTCCCTTCGAACTTCGGAATGGGAATGCGAGGCAACGAAGCCTCGGGCACTACTGCCTGCGCGGGGACTGCGTGAGCAGCCGACTCAGCCTCCTGAACCTTCAACCCATCGAGCAGGGTTTGGATTTCTGCGCGCTGCGCAATGTAGACTTCCTGTACCGTGCCACAGGCATCCTGTCGCACGTAGTCCGACTCTCGCACGGTCTTGAGGCGAGACGCTCGGATCGTGCGATGATCATCCTGGAACTGAGCCCAGTACGTGTCGAGAACCTGCAAACGAGACGTCAACCCGCCAACTGACTTCAGTTGACCGGACTTGCGTGCATTGTCCAGCAGCCGCTCCATGCGGTGCTGCCGGTCGTATTGCAGCTCGATGAGCCCAAGAATGTCCTCCTCCTTAGACATAACGGAGCCCGAGCTAAACAACCCGACCCAGGTCCGAGACTACCGCTCCCGATCCGGCTCGAAGGACCAAAATTATGTTCGGAACTAGCCCGAACATATGATAGCTCCGGAGAGCTGGCTGGAAGTACGGGATCGCAGAGCGACGTCCGCCTGCGTCTAGGCTCGCTCGAGTCCGCTCGGTGACCGTCCGGTCGTCCTGATCAAAGGCCGGGGCCTCGTAACGCGACCACAGATCCTGCTGATCAGGCAACGTCGCGCGCCGACTGGGCCATGCCCAGGGACGGCGGCGAGAACAAGAGAGAAGAAGCACGCGCACGTGCCGACGTAAAGTGACACGCAATGTAAACGCAATGGACGCAATAAACGCAGTAGTAACGCAGAAGAGAATAACGCAGAAGAACCTAAACGTAGCTATATACAAGCGAAACAACGTCCCGCTTACGCTTACGCAAGTCCCGCAGGACACACGTCCGTGACGTCAACGGTGCGCGGCACCCGAAGCACGCCAAGGACGTGCAACGAAACGACCTCCGTCGTTTCGGATGGCCTGCCCTTCCGGGCGTAATGGCCAATAGCCAGCCACGGTCCCGAGGACGCGTGGAAACGGAGCTCCGAGAGCTCCGGCTCGCAGGACGACCAAGTCGCTCCTGCGAGAAAGCCAAGTTCCCAATGGACACTTGGACGAAGGAGCGCGAACGCTCTAGGACTGCGACCGAGCCGCTCCAAAACCGCCAAGGCCCCCTACGGACACTTGGGCAATAAGGGAGCTCGAAGCTCCGAGGAGACGGTCGAGTCGCTCCTAAGATCACGGCAACGCCGTGACTCCGAGATCACAAACGAGATTCGAACCGTTTGCCTCAACCCAGCAGGGTGTATCGGCGCCACCTTCAACTCAGCAGAGTCTATAGAGCAGTGGTTCGAATCTGAACGAAATACCGATCGCCCTAGGAAGCGCGTCGGTAATCACCAGTACACGATGCACTAACGCGTAGCACTACTTGCTACCTAAACTGGCCAGGCAGAAGACAAGACAAGGCAAGGACCAGGCATCGCGCGCCTGGTTATATATCCGGGCGGTCGAATCTTGCCCGCGGGCAGCGGAATCGCGAGCCGCGCCGTGTAGCGGCCGCGGTTGGACCTAGTGGGGGTCCCGCGCGCTCGCTCGCGAGAACCCGAGTCCCCCGCCGCCAGCGAGAACGCCCCGGGCACCAGGCCGCCCGCCTTGCAGCGTTGACTCGCACCGACTTTCCGTACGGCATCACGTGCCGTACGGAACAAGTATTATCACTCATTTATATTACACTTTTAACTATCATATTGTCTCATTGTTAAGTAAAACAATTGTTTAAGTCTCTATTCCTATCAATAGCCATAATCATTATATCACCTACAATCACCATATTTCCCCCTTTCACCATCTGTCCGGGAAAGCTCTCGGCATCCCAGGCAGTACCGGTGTAAGCAGGTAGGCCTAAATAAATAGAGAGCAGGCGGATCACGATCCCTAGGGAGACGCGAGACGTTACACCACAAGATTATCCTTGTCGACACACCGTCGTTCGAAGCCGTCGACACGCCGTCGTCAGAAGACGTCGACACGCCGTCGTCAGAAGACGTCGACACGCCGTCGTCCGAAACCGTCAACACGCCATCGTCAGAAGCCGTCGACACGCTATCGTCCGAAGCGATGTCGCTTCCGAGCGACCACGAGATCGCTCTCGTCGACACTACGTCATCCGAAACGACGTCGCGTCCGAACGACCGCGAGATCGTCCTCGTCGACACACCGTCGTCCGAAACGACGTCGCGTCCGAACGACCGCGAGATCGTCCTCGTCGACACACCGTCGCCCGAAGCCGTCGACACGCCGTCGTGCGAAACGACATCGCGTCCGAACGATCACGAGATCATCCTCGTCAACACGCCGCCGTTCGAAGACGTCGACACGCCGCCGTTCGAAGACGTCAACACGCTGTCGTCCGAAACGACATCTCGTCCGAACGATCACGAGAGCTACGAAACGGTTTTCAGCGAGCCGCGGCAATCTCCGTTCGAAACCGTCAACGCACCGTCGAAATTGTATAACTCGATATTTACCGAATCACTGCGGTCACCGCCCAAAGCCGTCGAAACGACAAGTACGCTCGAATCGGTGTTCAACGCGTCGAATGTCAAAGAGAAACCTCGATCGATCGTGCATAATCGAGATTTCGCTACGCACAACAAGCGATCCATAGTGGCATCTGCGACCAATTCGATCGCGGTTTTAGAGTCTGCCAAACGAAGAAATAAACGCGCCAAGCAATAATTCCAAAATCATTTCCGTTCATCAGTTCTTTTTTTACAATATATAGTTCAACGTTGACGCGGGATTGTATTCGTTGTTGTAAGTCGTCAGCATACCGTAGACACGACGCATCAGAGGATACACCTCTTGTAATAAGATTCAGTGCACTCTTGATCTCGCGGCGTTTCGATCATCGATACCGCCGTGATATTTTGTCCTGTAACGACACAAAGATTTTTGTGCCGTTACGCTGACTGCCGCCTAGCAGCACGCGACAGTCAGCTGAGCGCACACCCCCCGACCCGCGCTGACACCGCGCCGAAACATCGCGCTCGGCCGAATATGCCCGACTACCCGGCAACGACGCTCGGGCACGATCGGCCGCCGAACCGAGCTAGCGGCCCCGCCGAAATTATTCGGCAAACGCCGCATAATCACGATTAATTCCGATTAAAAAGCGGAATTAACTCCGATTAAGGGCGAAGAAAACCGAAGCCCCAAAATCTCGGGTATATAACCCCGGCAGATTTTAACGAGAGAAAAGTCTCCAGAGTTCCGTCTCCACGACTAGTTCTTGCCGAGAGAGGATCAACCGAGAAGCTTCTGCCGAAATTCGTAAGCGAGTTACCAGGCCGTCTACGACGGTGATTAATAATACCGGTTCTTTGCGCTATAAAGATCGGACGGCGAGTTCGCCGTCCGCTCCGGTTTAGTGTTCACCGGAACGATCTTTTATTTTGTGCCGTCTTTTGCGATATCTCGTGCCGTCTCCGCGATATAAGGAAATCGGACGGCGAGTTTGCCGTCGCTCCGGTGTGTTCACCGGAACGATCTTATTTTGTGCCGTCTTTGCGATATTTCGTGCCGTCTCCGCGATATAAGGATCGGACGGCGAAGTTCCGCGGTTCCCGCTTCCGGTTTTGTGAAATTTCCTCTTTTTCGGTTG